TAGCAAACCTGGGCACCACAGACAAAACACCCCTTGGCCCCGCACCGTGCTCAGAATTGTTGTTATGCTCCAGGCCCCTGGGCCGCTCCATCTTCCTCTTTTTCGCTGACCGTGCGAGGGGGGGTTCTGTTCTATAGCATGAGGTTGCCATAAGTCGGAAGTGATTCGGTGGAAACAGCTATATGTTCTAAATTCCTCCTAAAGAAAATGATGATGTAATCCCAGTCTGCTATTTTATAAAGCTAGTTATATCCCCTTCTACACACTCAGGTGTAATGGCTTTTAAACTCCAGTGAGGTAACCCATAACAAACGGGTATCATCCATACCTGTAACCGGAGCAGAATCCCTGTAGCCTCGTGGTAAGAGGCCCGTCAGAGAAAGACACCGCCATCTGCTTCTGGGAACACCATGGATCCATCCGACTGCCCTGTTGGAGCTGTAGGAGATGGAGTCTGCTCAAGGCGACTGAGTTTGGTCTTGGTGTGTGTGTGGCACTCCCTGTTTAACCAGCCTTCTTTTATCTTTGCCAACAAATACCTACAGATGCGGCATCGCCTTGGATGCCTGGATGTTTCCACTGGGCGATGAAGTATACTCCAGAATTCCTCAGCCCCTCTTTTTAATCAACTCAGAAAAATTCCAATCTCCTGAGAGTATCACAAAAATGAAAAAATTATTCTTACCTGATAGAGAAAGAAAAATGATTACCATCAAGTGAGTATGGCTTCACCGTCATGGGGACAGAAATTTTAAACTGGGATAAACATAAACGGACATCATTTGGTAGACATGATGGTAAGGTCAACCATTTAGGCTTTCAATAGAGGAGAATGATAGAGCATCACAGCTTCTAAGGGCATTGAGACTTTTCAGAAACTGAAAATGTTTTGAGTAGTGTTACTGTAAATAGAAGATATACTGTTAATTAAATTTGTCTTAGGATGCCTGCTACTTTTATCTAATTATAATAACATGCCTACATATTTGGGGAGAGGGGCTTATAAGGGGAAGAAACAATTCCATCAGTAGCCTAGCGTAGGAATTCTTTAAAGGGAAATATCAACGATTGAGATGTAAAATTACTTGTTGAGAAAAGTATGGGTTTATAGATTCTCAAAAGCTAAATGCGTGGGGGGTGGGGAGTCCCTCGAGTGTCGGTAATGTGCCTATATCCACGACATGTAAACAGCCTCTTCAGGGTTTGAATCCCACAGTGAGATTCCAAAAAACAAAGTTCGAGTTCATTCCTCCTTGATCTGAAATCTAGTTGGCTCAGAATTGGGGGAAAGGGACCGCAGGGAGGAAGGGTATCAAGCTTCCGCCAGCAGTGGAATGAGGACAGAGAATGGGGGGGCCATGCCAACAATGGAGATGTCCAGGCTTCTTGGGAGAGATGAGGCTAGCCCTGGGTCTTGAAGGATGGAGTGAGTGTAGATAGATGGTAAGGGATGGTCTAGGGCAGTGGTTCTCAATCTGTGGGTCATGACCCTTTTGGGGGGTTGAATGACCTTTTCACAGGGGTCACCTGATTCATAACAGTAGCAAAATGACAGCTATGAAGTAACAAAGAAAATAATTGTTATGGTTGCGGGCTCACCACAACATGAGGACCTGTATGAAAGGGTCGCAGTGTTCGGAAGGTTGAGAACCACTGGTCGGGGTATTTCCGATAAAGGCTTTCATTGCTCTTGTTTGTATGTGCAAGCTCATCGGATTCTCCAACACAGAGAATTCAGAACTCACCATCTTTCCACTAATTTCTTGGTAGGCTCTTTATCTGTTTCTTCCCATGATATGATAGCAGATATTTAATATTTCACATCCCTGCCATCTAGCACCTGTAACCCCAACTGGTCTGCTGAAACAGCCCCTTTCAAGGGCCCCAAGATGTTCCACACCACACCCAAGACCATCTTTGGAATCTGAGCCTTCCTCTTCACAGTCAATGGACTTTGTGGATACCACGCTTCCTCCTTTCTTGGCTAGCAGGACCCTACTCTTGCTTCCTGCATCCTGCGCATTGTTCCTGCCCTTCCCCCAACACCTGCTCCTCCTCAGGCCATCCTTTGACTGTTAGTGGCCCTAGCTCCTGCTGCTGCTGGCTCTCCCAGGACCCTCTCTCTATTTACTTTCTTTCTGTCTGCACACAAGTTTTGTTTGGAATGTAGGGAAGAGGGGGAGAGGGCGTCAGGGGACTGGCTGTTTTGAACTTTGGTGACTAATGGAATTGTGGGTTGTTTATTAAAAGCAGAAAAATAAAGAGGGAGAGTTGTATTTGGTAGAGCTAGGGCAAGAGTGTTTTAACATTGGGATTTTGGAGCTGGAGACCAGGAAATCCAGGTAGAAGCGTCTAGCTATAGAATGGAGATGTTCAGATTTGCTACGATGCCAGACATGACACCTTTGAGGTAGATGACCTTGCAAGATTGCTCTGAGTATAAAATGGTGTGCGCTGTCTGCCTTTGGCTGAAGGGAGAGAGTGCAGAGCCAGTGATGAGCAGAGTATTTGGCATCTGATAGAAGGGCCCATGTCAAGGAAACAGAAAGACAGACAAGAAAGTCATCTCTTGTCACACGTCTGAGCATTTGTAGAAAATGAGCCCTTAACCATGCCAGTGTTAGCATGTTGTTGATCGTGAGTTGAGAGAGCAGTGTGAGTGGTGTTTATAAGGTGCTCACCCATCTAAAGGACACTTAAAGGAAGACCTGGTGGTGTGGTGGGTGAGACATTGGGCTTCCAACTTCAAGGTCAGCAGTTGGAAACCACCAGCTGCTCTGTAGGAGAAAGGTGAGGGTTTCTACGCCCAGGAAGATGTACAGTCTTGGGAACCCGATAGGGTCACCGTGAGTTGGAATTGACTTGAAAGCAGCGAGTTTTCTTTTTTGTTGTTTTGTTTTCATTCATGAGTTGCAATTGACTAGATGGCAGTGGTTTAGGTTTTGTGGGGTTCTTCGCCCCCCCCACCACTGTTTAAATAATACAAGGACAATGTTTTGTTGGTGCTTTATTTGATTTCGAACTATGTTAAATCCAAGGCTACCGTCCAAAGTGATTGATGTGTCCAGCTTCCCCTAGACCCTGAGTCAGTGACAGTGGTGAGGTGGCAGCTGTGGCTCGGTATCGGGGCCCCTTCAAACACATCCAGTCTCTTCGCATGGGAAGTATTCCAGCTCAGTGCAAACCGGAACTGTCTCTCCCAGAGCTGTTTCCCTGCAGAGACGATGAATGTGTGCTAACTGAGCAGGCTATGACCCTGAAATAATGTCTCCTTTGATCAAATCCACAACTTTTGAAGACTTCTAAGTCTTCAGTTCAGTTAGTCATCCAGGCCAGGATCTTTTCTGCCGCCTCACTATGCAAAAAACCATTGCAAAGGGATTTTGTACATGTCTCATTTCTCTTCCAGGGGTACGGTCCATCAGAATTTCGATGACCTCACTTTCGTCGTTGGCAAGGTCCTGGGGAAAATCCTCCAATTAAAAGGAGATATAGATTCGAATGTCGCTCTTGATCTTAACAACAAAGCCTCCCTAGCATTCTTACAAAAGCATTTAGGTAAGGCACTAAGACGCCTTCGGGACATGAATCAGATGGTGGTCAGGACCGAACTGCCTATCTCCATGCAATATGCTTCGCTTTCAGCTGTCTCCACTTTTGTCCGTCAGGTTGGCAGCTTTGGGATATTCTTGTGTACTACTTTATAAGGAGTCTGGCTGGCGCACACTCTTGACTGCCAACCAAGAGGTGGAAGGCTGGAACCCACCCAGTAGCTCCAACGGAGCAGGACCCAGCAATCTGCTTCCGCAAAGATCACCCTCTGTCTGAGTCCACGTAGATTCTGACTCATCAGCACCCTACAAAATAGGATTTCCAAGACTCATCTCTTTCCAGAGGGGTGGTTGATGGATTTGAACCACTGACCTTGGAGTTAGCATTCCACTACTTATCCCACAGTGGAGCAGTGCTTCTCTGAACATGTGGTCACTGAGTCAGAAATCAACTCAAGGGGACAGTAACAGCACACTTCCTATATCATAAAAGGAGTCCTGGCAGTGTACTGAGTCCTGTGTTGGGCTACTAACTGCAAGTCCGCAGTTCAAAAGCACCAGCTTCTCTCAGGGAGAAAGAAGAGGCTTTCTGCTCCGTAAAGATTTACAACCTCAGGAACCAAAAGGGGCAACTATACCCTGTCCAATAGGGTCACTGCGGACACTGTGAGTCATAGTAAACTCATTGGCAGTGAGTTTGGTTTGGGTTTATAAATCAGGGTGAAAGTTCACTTGCTGATACTAAGTCTATCGTGAAGACTAGAGTGGCCTTCAGGGCATACTGACTCCAGAGGGCGTTAGCCTCTCTGTACTCAGATATAGATACGAAAATTGACATCCCGCACCTACCTGGGCAGTCACTGAACGTCTGTGTAATCTGTGTATATCTACTGCCACCTAGAGGCATCCAACTGTACAGAGCGCTCAAAACGGTGCCATGCTCATGGAAATTTATATTTTACAGGACTTCAGAAAGATTTTGACCAGTGGGACCACTTGATTGAAGGGGAAGATGAAAATCTTATTCCTGGGACCAACGTTAACGTAGCCAACCAACAGGACACATAAGTCTACAGCCACAGGAAACTAGAATTCAGAGCACTTTCCACAAATGTCATGTTTTAAAACTATCTAAAAGTTTTAAGACTGTCTAATAAATGTATGCATATACTTGTGTTTGTGTGTATGTAGAGATAGATGACTTGAACTATATTTTCCCGAATAACATTTAAAATGTAGGCTATCCCAGTTGAGCTAGTAACTGGGACTTTTCCCCCCTTTAACTGTAAAGACAATCTATACCATTCAAAAATCATACCAGCCTAACTTTTCATTTTACTAAGATGAAAGTTTTCAGGATCACATTAAAAATTGCTTTTACATTATATATTTTAATGGGAAAGTATATTGAAGCAGGCACAATGCCAATGGAAGCATCCCGCAAAGGCAATAAAAACAGGTTTTCATGCAGCATAGCTCTCTCTGTAGAATTTTATTGGACAGCACTTCCCTGTGACTTTTTGTCCTGGCAAGAAAAAGGAGATCAAACTGAAAATAAAACTGCTATTTTTTTCATAGGATTAGTCATACTAGTAGTTTCAATACAAAGGTTAAATGGGCACTGGGCAAAGGCAAGACTGTTGGAGGCAGGGCACAGGCAGCCGCTTAAAGGTAGAGAGTAGATCATGTATGTACGTTATTCTAATGTTCTCTCTGTGATGCACATTTCTTACAAAAGACTGGAACCATTGGTACGGTGCCTATGAAAAACTGGCCAGGGTTCTAGCGATCACACTTACTAGATTAGTTATGTACTCAACAATGACAGAGTAATAGAGAAAACATTCAGAGCCCTCATTTTCTAATGAATTGGATTGAATGGATTCTTTTCAGGTCTTTTCGTGGCAGTGGAAGCAGAGTGAGATAATAAAGGGAGGTTCAAAGATATTTACACTTACACAGCCAGGGGTATAAAAATTGTTGGCATTGCATTATTTGGAGGCTAAGTATTGCGTGGCCTTGTTCCTATGAATTCACTATAATTAAACCTCTGACAAAAGGAATGGTCCCTGGAGAGGTAAGGGGTGATGCAGTAGGCTGCTAACCCAAAGATCAGCAGCTCAAACCCATTAACCACTCTATGGGAGAAAGCGAGGCAGTTGCTTCCATACAGATTTGCAGCCTGGAGACCCCATAGGACAGTGTACTTGCTTGGTACTTTGAGAATCAACTCAAAAGCAGTAGGTCTAACACATGAATCGTCAGTACCTATGAAGTACATGTGGTTAGCTGTTTTATATATGTCCTTGTTCCTGGTCCTTTTATCCATTCTGAGTTGGTACCTCAGGGGTATTCTAAGGATTAAAATCACCTTGAGAAATTTGACTTAAGCATTCGGATTATTGTTTTTTACATAGGGAGTAATATTAAGGTCCCTCAGCTTGGTGGCATAATGGTTATGTGCTGGGCTGCTAGCCACGAGGTCAGCAGTTTAAACTCACCGGCTGTCCCTCAGGAGAAAGATGAGGCTTCCTAGGCCCACAACAAAGGATGGAAATTTCAGAAACCCACAGGCACAGCTCCACCCTGTCCTACTGGTTGCTAACAGTATCAACTAGATAGCCACGAGTCCAATTACACATCCTGGCTAGCTTTTTCTTCTGGTAAGTCACAGCTATTTCTCTTACAGGAAGGAGCATTTATTCATTTTCCCAAGAACGAACAATACCTTCACTTACCTCAATGGTTTTTTTGTTGCAAAACTCTTTCTACTTACCGTATATACTTGTGTACAAGCCGAGTTTTTCAGCACATTAAAAAA